TCCTCCGGGGCCAAAGCCTCGGCGTCGCCGCCGCCGGGCGCGCCACTCCGGACGGCGACGGTCATGGCCGAGCTGCCCCCTTGCTCCTCGTCGTCCGCGTCGTCGTCCTCCTCCGGGATCATGGAGGTGGCGTCGGCAGGCGCTTCCCCGGCGGGCTTGGCCGGGCTTGCCTGCAGCTCGGGCCTCTGCAGGGGCCACGTACAGGAGCGCGGGCGGCTCTGGGGCTCAAATTCGGGGTCCAGTTCCACCTCGAGGGGGGACGAGGGGGCGGGGGGAGACGCCTCTGCCATCTTGGCCTCTCCCCCACTCCTGCTGCTCGCTCGGCTTCCTTTCTCGCGGCCGCCAAGCGGGCAAATGCTAGGCAAGGAGGATCCGATCCACGCCCGGGTCCCTCCTGGGCGCGATCAGCGAGGTTGAGCAAAGAGGGCACTCTCCATGAAACGTCCCGCCGCCCCTTTGGTTCACCCCGCCAGCTCTGTCCCTTTTTCCCCTCTCTCCTTTTAAAAAGAGAGAGAGAGAGAGAGAGAAGAGAGAAAACACGCGGCAAAGGAGATCCAGAAGCAATCCGATGGTCGCTGGGTCCCAGGTGAGCTCCCTGGATCCCAAGAAAATCCGCTCTCGGGAAGGACCCGACCCCCGCCCACTCCCACCCCCAAACGCCGCGGAGTGGGAAGCAAATCTCCGCGGAGGAGGCGGCCGGGAGGCTCCCGTCGGTTTGTTTATCTTCCACTCCGCGCAGGAGGATTCCTCCAATAACGTCGCGCGGTATCCATTACAGGGCGCCCATGCCCGCGGCCCCCCCGCCTGAAAGCGAAGGGAAGGAGAGGCGGGGAGGGGGGGGAAAGGAGATCGGAAAGGCCACGAGTCTCTGGGCTTGTTGCTCTGGCGGACTTTTCCCCTCAGCCCTTCTTCTTTTTTTCTTTCAATGTTTTGGCCGAAGGAATCTTCCTTCCCGCTGACTTCCAGGACACCTAAACTGGAGCACGGAAGTCCGTAAAGCGCAGCCGATCGCCTCCTGCTACATTTGTGGAGGTCACTCCCCCCTCCTCCAAAAAAAGGGAGTAAAAAAAGAGTGGGGGAAGCAATCCCCCCCAAAACCCCACCACGATTATTGGTGTCCTTTTTTTGTGTCTGTTTGTGGTCCTCAGGGTGGGGGAGAGAAAGTATCTCAGTTTCCAAAACCAGTCAAATCGCCGATTTTCCAACAGGTCCAGAAGCCCAAAAGTCCTCCGCAGGGGCTGCCAAGGTTTCGTTCCGGCATCAACAGCACCACATTTATAACCTCCTCGCTCCTGCTGCTGCTGCTGCTGCTGCCGCTGCCATCTTGACAGTTCTCGCCCCCCCCCCTTTTCACTCAAGTCATTTAAAAACCATTGGCAAAAAGAGTGAGAGAGAGAAAAGAGCGAGAGGTTCACGCAGGCAGTAGAAGAGAACAGCACCGAGCGGCAGCTTCTCGGGTTGTTGTTTTCTTTTTCCTTTTCCTTTTCTGCTTAAAGGGATCAGTTCAAAAGGAAGAAAAAATCCAGATCGAAATGCACACAAGGAAAAACGCAGCGCTTGCTCCTACTGCCGTTGCATGATTCTGGCTTCTGAAGCCGTCTCCAGATCGTTTCACTTTCACCGAGAAGAGAGGTGGTGGTGGTGGCGGTGGGGAGAAGAATAGCATTAACGCGTAAAACCAATCCCGAGCCCATACACCCGATCTCGCTGCGAAGAGAAAACCAGAGGCAAGAGATCTGCCCGGAACAAACGCGGCTGCTGCTGCTGCTCCTGCTGCTGCCTCCTCCGCCGCCGCCGATGCCGATGCCTCTGCTGCTGCTGCTGCTGCAATTGGCGGGAGCAGCCTGTCACCCTCCGCTCTGCTGACTTCCACATTCCTTCTCCTAACAACCAGGAGCGGCAACAC